TTCTTCTTGTGAACCACCACCATTGAATTGACCCAATCGGTCGGTCCCTCCACCTTCTGGATGGTGTCATGCTGCTCCATCCGTTGTAGCTCCTTCTTCAGCGGCTCTCTCAAAGCGAAGGCGATTTTCCTGGGGGCATGAACAACGGGTGAGACACCATTTTCTTTTAGCACAATTTTGTACACTCCCTCAAACTTTCCAACCCCTTTGAAGCAGTCTTCAAAGCCCTTGCATTTACCAGGCAGGTTGAGTGAGGTGTCATTGTCCTCATTTTCTTGCATGCTGATCTGGTCGATAAACTTCCTTGTTACCAATCCCAAATCTTCTGCTGCTTCCCATCCAAGTACAGGCTTGACTTTATTATTATCAATCACGTGGAATTCCAAGACATATGTCTTCTTATTCAAATCACATGGGACGAAGATTCTTCCTAGACAATTGACACTACCTCTGGTATAATTATAGATGGTTTCTTGGACGGGGTATAACTTAAACTCACCCCTCATTTGCCAGTATATGTGCCTGGGAAGGGTGTTGATGTCCGCTCCAGTGTCTACCTTGAATTGTATTCTCCGCCCGTGGACTCCAATGACTTGGTACCATCGCTTTCTTCTCTCCTGCCTGCTGCCATTGGTGGAAATGCAGTCAATCCTGAAACCATCATCAACATCAGTATCATAATCTTCACAACTGTCACTGCCATTTCCTTTTGCAATTTCCTTCACATAATTGCTGCGACAAACTTTCTCAAAGTGGTTCTTCATTTTGCAGTGCGAGCAAGTTTGCCCATATGCTGGACACTTATTTTTCTTATGCGAAGATCCACAATATCCACAATCAGTTATGAAGTTCTCATTATTCCGAATTGGCTTGCTACCCTGACCCTTTCTCTTGAAATTCTGTCTACCATTACTACCTCTGTTTTTCTTGCTGATGGCTTCCACCTCTAATGGTCCAGTTGCAACGGTGACATTCTTAATTCTTCATCATTTCAGATCTCTGCCTAGTGATTTCATCATTCCTACAGTGCTCAACACATTTGTCTAACGTGAGGTTTTCTATCTGAAGCAATTTCTCTCTAAGCGCCGGATTGAATAGGCCGACCACCATTACATCTCTTATCAATCCATCCTTCAGATTACCAAGCTCACACGACTTGGCAAGCTGCCTCAGTTTGGCTACAAAACAATCAGCGGTCTCACCGTCCTTCTGACGGCATGTTAGAAATTGAAAGCGCTCAAATGTTATTTTGGTCTTCGGCATTATGTGCTGATCAAACTTCTCAAACACTTCAGTAATGGTGGGAGTGGGGTTAGGTAACCCGTCTTTGATGAAGGTAAACGAGCGAAGCAATTCCTTGCCTGCCGCTCCCACAACATGCCTGAACAGCGCTACTTGCCTTTTCTCGTCGATCTTGGTTTCAGAGAGTGCCGTCACGTAATCTGTGAAGGCTTCCTTCCAGCCGGTCCATACGGCACTCACGTTGCTGCCTTCCAAGCAAAGTTGCTCCGGCGGCGATACGAGGAGGGGGCGGCAGCGTTCATGATGATCACACGTGCAACTTGAGGTTATGGCTGAGAGCGATGAGTTTCCGACTGCGCCATGTAATATCAGCTGATGCAGGGTAGTAAATGTCAAGCTAGGTTGAGAATAGCAAGCAAAGGTTTATTGCAATACCGGGCCTTTTATAATGTTTGG